ATCCACTTTGACAATGGAGGGTTGGGAGTGGATTGGGGGAGTTTGTAGTTTATTTATGACTTTCCAAAAGTTTTTAGGGTTTGATAGGTTATTATGCAGATTTTCACAGAAATATTGTGCCTTGGCCAATTTTGTCTGTTTTGTGCATATATTTCGCCATTGTCTATAGGCACAGTGATCATTCACAGAGCCAGGATGCTTGAACTTTGACCACAAAGAATCCCAAAACTGGAACATTTTGATGAGGTCAGCTGTGATCCAGTTCATATGTGCTTCTTTTACCCTCACCTTGCGCAGCGGGGCTTATCTCCAAGCAAAAAAAAAAAAATACACCTTTTACACATTTCTCATACCATTAAATTAAACATTCAATTCCCATAAAACATATATTTTCTGAACAGGCACAGTAATGGGAACAACATATTAAGAAATCATGCAAGTCGGTTCAGGGGTCCGGGAGATAGATGGAAGTCACATTTGACAGTTCCAGAGAATTAGGCTGTGCGACCAGTCTATTTCCAATGTTAGATTTAGTTCAAATAGACGAACGGCAATCGTTTGTGAAAATCGTCAATGTTAAAGTGCTGTTCGAATTGTCGAACGGTGTTCGACTCCAGTCGAAGCATTGAAACTTGGAGAAGGTAAAGTTAAGCGGTGCTCGTGCCATCGCGTATCCGATTTGAGTTCCATGAACTCGACAACCAAACACCACTGAACGCGTTCGACTAAATTAAAATGGCCGTGTTCGGATGTCGAATTGTGACCACTTTGACTACTTTGTGCCACTTCAAAAGTGCAGAACTGTACCAAAATCATTTAAAGGGGCAGAAACAGTGCTCCAAAATACAATAGGCACAAATAGAGTTTTTAAAGGGCAATACACCCCAGGGGCCATAGTCACAGGGCAAGAGGCTGGCAAGAAGGCCTCTCCAAAAGCCAGCAAAGGGTAGTTCGTCACAGGGCTGTAGTAGGGGGTTATGGGTTAAAGTAGTGTATGGGGGCTGTAATTGGGACTAAAGGGTGTAGGGTCTGTAGTAGGAGGTTAGGGGCTGTAGTAGGGTGTAGGAGCTGCAGTAGGGTGTAGGGGCTGCAATTGAGGGTTAGGGGCTGTAGTAGTAGGCTAAGTGCAGTAGTATAAGTTGTCTAAGGAGGGATGCTATGTTTAACTTGGTATGTCTTTGAGATTTCCTTACAAAAGAGTTGATATACACTATACTCTGTGGGCATTCCATTGTATCATTCACCTGTCATTCCATAGAAAAGAGCTATAATCCCAGTTACTTTTTATGATACAATCCACTGCTGTACTTGGGGAAAACCTGTGGCAAAGGTTAATTTGCGATGTAACACAGATTTGCCTGCAAATTAATTTAAGTTCTACTTCCCATTAAACTCTATGGGCATTCTCTTTAGTCATTCACCGTTGTCATTCTATAGAAAACAATGATAATCCCACTTAAACTCAATTTCAAAAATTGCCACTGAACTCGTAGAGTATGCCTGCAAAAGATTTACTGGATATGTTTCAAGGTTCAGATTCCAAGTCACATATTGCTTCCCATTATACTCTATGGGCATTCCATTGTATCATTTACCTGTCATTCCATAGAAAAGAGCTGTTATCCCAGTTAGGGTAAATGGATGAGACAGCGCTGGTTAACTGATAGGCAGCAACCTTTAAAGGGGAATCCCTCAAAAACCCTTTAAAACAAGATAAATAAAAGTAACAAATAGAAAAGGCTGTGCCACATAAAATTTAAAACAGAATAAAAGAAAACAAAGTCCAAGTAATAAGAAGTCCAACTTGTATGTCCTTACGAATAGTCTTTTTAGGAGGCTGGTACAGTGGTTGGGTCTTCAGATATAGTAGTGGTTCCACTTATATAGAAGATAAAAGAGAGGGACAACCAATAGTGCAATATGTATAGCTCAAATATGGACGTGATAAAAAATAATGGTAGATAACTCACATTTACAAGAGCTTATATCCAGCTCTAGGGTAAAGCGCATACAGCGGTATAATCCCCGCTTATGGGATATGTGGTGGGTACCTCTCCGTCAGTGGTGTCCGGTTCTCAGGAAAGAACAAACAGCCAATAGTGCTCACTGTATAGCAGTGTTGGTATAAATTAAATAAAAAAGTACTTACAAGTAAAGAGCAGACGGACTGCTCTGTGGTATCAGCATAAGTGGATTAATCCCCACCTAGGATTTCTTGGGGTGCAGGAAGCTTCCAAATATTAATAAAACCAGAATGGATAAAAAATAAGATAATAAAAAGCCAGGGTAAAAATAAATAAAAAAAGGTATGTGTAAAAAAGATAATCGGCACAAACAGATGACCAAATATACTTTTAATACAGAAATACACAATATAAAATTTCCATAACGCGTTTCGTCAGAAGACTTTTTCAAATGGAATAACATATAATACCTGGCATATGAGTGTTATACAGGAACACAAGTAATTAGAATTTTGGCACCAAAAATGGTCCAGCCAATCAGAATTAATATTAGATAGGCGAATATAAAACACATAAATAACTATATGAGAAGATACTTAATAGTAACCTGACATGTTTAAAATGTATTAATAAGTAAAACGAGGGTGGGAAGATATAAAATTAAACATTAGAAATTTCCCATGTGATTTTCGGCACTTCTACATACCGGAAGTGAGCCGCACAGCCTCATGGGAAATGTAGTTTGTAATGGCCGCGAATGGCGGCCGGGGAACCAGAGGGGAGGGGAGTGTAATGTCTGGCTAGAAATAGGGGAGGGCAGATAGATGCCTAAAGGCCATATTGGGAATGGCAGACATGGAAATGTGCAAAAATATTGACATATTTCACCATAAAAATATAAAATAAAATGATGAAATTTAAATAAGCATTATTAAATAGCAACATTGTTATAAAAAGATAAGAACAGGTTAAAGATACAGGCACAGTCACTCATTATAATAATATAATGAGTGACTGTGCCTGTACCTTTAAAAAATGAGTGCCTGTACCTTTAACCTGTTCTTATTTTGTATTATTTAAGGATTTTACTGTTTCTTTTAATATTGTTGTTTTTAAACATTGTCTTTTTAAACACTGCTTTTTATAACAATGTTGCTTATTAATACATTTTAAACATGTCAGGTTACTATTAAGTATCTTCTCATATAGTTATTTATGTGTTTTATATTCGCCTATCTAATTTTAATTCTGATTGGCTGGACCATTTTTGGCGCCAAAATTCTAATTACTTGTGTTCCTGTATAACACTCATATGCCAGGTATTATATGTTATTCCATTTGAAAAAGTCTTCTGACGAAACGCGTTATGGAAATTTTATATTGTGTATTTCTGTATTAAAAGTATATTTGGTCATCTGTTTGTGCCGATTATCTTTTTTACACATACCTTTTTTTATTTATTTTTACCCTGGCTTTTTATTATTTTATTTTTTATCCATCCTGCTTTATATATATTTGGAAGCTTCCTGCACCCCAAGAAATCCTAGGTGGGGATTAATCCACTTATGCTGATACCACAGAGCAGTCCGTCTGCTCTTTACTTGTAAGTACGTTTTTATTTAATTTATACCAACACTGCTATACAGTGAGCACTATTGGCTGTTTCTTTTTTCCTGAGAACCGGACACCACTGACGGAGAGGTACCCACCACATATCCCATAAGTGGGGATTATACCGCTGTATACGCTTTACCCTAGAGCTGGATATAAGCTCTTGTAAATGTGAGTTATCTACCATTATTTTTTAGCACGTCCATATTTGAGCTATACATATTGCACTATTGGTTGTCCCTCTCTTTTATCTTCTATATAAGTGGAACCACTACTATATCTGAAGACCCAACCACTGTACCAGCCTCCTAAAAAGACTATTCGTAAGGACATACAAGTTGGACTTCTTATTACTTGGACTTTGTTTTCTTTTATTCTGTTTTAAATTTTATGTGGCACAGTCTTTTCTATTTGTTACTTTTATAATCCCAGTTACGTTTAATTTTACAATCTACTCCTTTACATGGGGAACACCTGTGGTAAAGGTTAGTTTGCTATGTAACCGCTGTACTTGGGGAACACCTGTGGTAAAGGTTAGTTTGCTATGTAACCGCTGTACTTGGGGAACACCTGTGGTAAAGGTTAGTTTGCTATGTAACCGCCGTACTTGGGGAACACCTGTGGTAAAGGTTAGTTTGCTATGTAACCGCTGTACTTGGGGAACACCTGTGGTAAAGGTTAGTTTGCTATGTAACCGCTGTACTTGGGGAACACCTGTGGTAAAGGTTAGTTTGCTATGTAACCGCTGTACTTGGGGAACACCTGTGGTAAAGGTTAGTTTGCTATGTAACACAGATTTACCTGGGAATGAGTTTGTGTTGCCTCCCATTATACTCTGTGGGCATTCTCTTTAGTCATTCACCCTTGTCATTCCATAGATAACATTGATAATGCCACCTAATCTCAATTTCAAAAATTGACACTGAATCTGGAGAGTTTTGTAGCAAAACATTTATTTCATATGTCTAATAGTTTTGTCTCTAATTGAAATATTTTGTTTCCATTCTGTCATTCCTTTTAGTATGTCCCCTTTATTTTAATCTTCCTCCTTAGTCACCTGAACAGGATTCTATAACTTTGTATGATTCAGGAATCTGAGTGATTAACTTGAAGCCATTATCTAGGTGTGTTTACTGGTAATAAATCCGTGTTGGCACACTGTCAGATTTCTTTAATGTGAGTCAGTTCTACAACACTCTCTTCAACTCCTTTGCTGAAATAAATTTCCATTCTCCAAGCCAGGATGATATGTAAATATATGGAAATAATGGATTTATTTAGATATTTCAGGGTGTGTTTAGTAAAGTATTTAGTAAATGTAAAAGAAAACCGAGCATCTCATTAAAACAGGTTTATCAGAAGTGACAGTCCTGTTTATTTGGACCAGATACATAGTAATGCGTCATATCGCCAATACAGCAAAGCAGAGAGTGCACAGTGACCTCTTGGCACTCACTACCTGTCACTACCTTTGTCACTGATGGGGAGCAGGAAGGAGTTAGTGTGAGTGGATGCTTCCCCACCGCTAGAACCCCACGACTTTTACTACAGTATCTTCTCCTTCCATCTGCTTCCCATATGCTTATTGCCAGGAAAAAAACATGAGTTATGTATCACATTCATACAAATAATCAATAATCGGGTATAGCCCTAAGGACAGAAATCACCAATAAGCACAATCTACTGAATTATTATTCTCTAAACATGAAAATAAAGTAAACAAAATAGGCATTAGAAATTGTCAAATGTCTATATATGTATGTCTATATGTGTGTGATTGTGTCTATATATGTATGTCTATCTGTGTGTTATTGTGTCTATATATGTATGTTCATCTGTGTGAGTGATTGTGTCTATATATGTATGTCTATCTGTGTGTGATTGTGTCTATATATGTATGTCTATCTGTGTGTTATTGTGTCTATATATGTATGTTCATCTGTGTGAGTGATTGTGTCTATATATGTATGTCTATCTGTGTGTGATTGTGTCTATATATGTATGTCTAACTGTGTGTGTGATTGTGTCTATATATGTATGTCTATCTGGGTATGTGATTGTGTCCATATATGTATGTCTATCTGGGTATGTGATTGTGTCCATATATGTATGTCTATCTATGTGTGTGATTGTGTCTATATATTTATGTCTATCTGGGTATGTGATTGTGTCCATATATGTATGTCTATCTATGTGTGTGATTGTGTCTATGTATGTATGTCTATCTGTGTGTGTGATTCTGTCTATATATGTATGTCTATCTGGGTATGTGATTGTGTCCATATATGTATGTCTATCTATGTGTGTGATTGTGTCTATATATGTATGTCTATCTGTGTGTTATTGTGTCTTTATATGTATGTCTATCTGTGTGTGTGATTGTGTCTATATACGTATGTCTATCTATGTGTGTGATTGTGTCTATGTATGTATGTCTATCTGTGTGTGATTGTGTCTATATATGTATGTCTGTGTGTTATTGTGTCTATATATGTATGTCTATCTATGTGTGTGATTGTGTCTATATATGTATGTCTATCTGTGTGTGTGATTGTGTCTATATATGTATGTCTATCTGTGTGTGTGATTGTGTCTATATATGTATGCCTATTTGTGTGTGTGATTGTGTCTATATATGTATGTCTATCTGTGTGTGTGATTGTGTCTATATATGTGTCTATCTGGGTGTGATTGTGTCTATATATGTGTCTATCTGTGTGTGTGATTGTGTCTATATACGTATGTCTATCTATGTGTGTGATTGTGTCTATATATGTATGTCTATCTGGGTATGTGATTGTGTCTATATATGTATGTCTATCTGTGTGTGTGATTGTGTCTATATATGTATGTCTATCTGGGTATGTGATTGTGTCTATATATGTGTCTATCTTAGTGTGATTGTGCCTATATATGTATGCCTATCTGTGTATGTCATTGTGTCCATATATGTATGTCTATCTATGTGTGTGATTGTGTCTATATATGTATGTCTATCTGGGTATGTGATTCTGTCTATATATGTATGTCTATCTGGGTATGTGATTGTGTCCATATATGTATGTCTATCTGGGTATGTGATTGTGTCCATATATGTATGTCTATCTATGTGTGTGATTGTGTCTATATATTTATGTCTATCTGGGTATGTGATTGTGTCCATATATGTATGTCTATCTATGTGTGTGATTGTGTCTATATATGTATGTCTATCTGGGTATGTGATTGTGTCTATATATGTATGTCTATCTGGGTGTGATTCTGTCTATATATGTATGTCTATCTGTGTGTGATTGTGTCTTTATATGTATGTCTATCTGTGTGTGTGATTGTGTCTATATACGTATGTCTATCTATGTGTGTGATTGTGTCTATGTATGTATGTCTATCTGTGTGTGATTGTGACTATATATGTATGTCTATCTGGGTATGTGATTGTGTCTATATATGTATGTCTGTGTGTGATTGTGTCTATATATGTATGTCTATTTGTGTGCGTGATTGTGTCTATATATGTGTCTATCTTAGTGTGATTGTGTCCATATATGTATGCCTATCGGTGTGTGTGGTTGTGTCTATATATGTATGCTCATCTGTGTGTGTGATTCTGTCTATATATGTATGTCTATCTGGGTATGTGATTGTGTCCATATATGTATGTCTATCTGTGTGTGATTGTGTCTATATATGTGTGTCTATCTTTGAGTGATTGTGTCTATATATTTATGTCTATCTTTGAGTGATGGTGTCTATATATGCATGTCTATCTGTGTGAGTGATTGTGTCTATATATGTATGTCTATCTATGTGTGTGATTGTGTCTATATATGTATGTCTATCTGGGTATGTGATTGTGTCCATATATGTATGTCTATCTATGTGTGTGATTGTGTCTATATATGTATGTCTATCTGGGTATGTGATTGTGTCTATATATGTATGTCTATCTGTGTGTTATTGTGTCTATATATGTATGTCTATCTGTGTGTGTGATTGTGTCTATATATGTATGTCTATCTGGGTATGTGATTGTGTCCATATATGCATGTCTATCTGGGTATGTGATTGTGTCCATATATGTATGTCTATCTATGTGTGTGATTGTGTCTATATATTTATGTCTATCTGGGTATGTGATTGTGTCCATATATGTATGTCTATCTATGTGTGTGATTGTGTCTATGTATGTATGTCTATCTGTGTGTGTGATTCTGTCTATATATGTATGTCTATCTGGGTATGTGATTGTGTCCATATATGTATGTCTATCTATGTGTGTGATTGTGTCTATATATGTATGTCTATCTGTGTGTTATTGTGTCCTTATATGTATGTCTATCTGTGTGTGTGATTGTGTCTATATACGTATGTCTATCTATGTGTGTGATTGTGTCTATGTATGTATGTCTATCTGTGTGTGATTGTGTCTATATATGTATGTCTATCTGGGTATGTGATTGCGTCTATATATGTATGTCTGTGTGTTATTGTGTCTATATATGTATGTCTATCTATGTGTGTGATTGTGTCTATATATGTATGTCTATCTGTGTGTGTGATTGTGTCTATATATGTATGTCTATCTGTGTGTGTGATTGTGTCTATATATGTATGTCTATTTGTGTGTGTGATTGTGTCTATATATGTATGTCTATCTGTGTGTGTGATTGTGTCTATATATGTGTCTATCTGGGTGTGATTGTGTCTATATATGTGTCTATCTGTGTGTGTGATTGTGTCTATATACGTATGTCTATCTATGTGTGTGATTGTGTCTATATATGTATGTCTATCTGGGTATGTGATTGTGTCTATATATGTATGTCTATCTGTGTGTGTGATTGTGTCTATATATGTATGTCTATCTGGGTATGTGATTGTGTCTATATATGTGTCTATCTTAGTGTGATTGTGCCTATATATGTATGCCTATCTGTGTATGTCATTGTGTCCATATATGTATGTCTATCTATGTGTGTGATTGTGTCTATATATGTATGTCTATCTGGGTATGTGATTCTGTCTATATATGTATGTCTATCTGTGTGTTATTGTGTCTTTATATGTATGTCTATCTGTGTGTGATTGTGTCTATATATGTATGTCTAACTGTGTGTGTGATTGTGTCTATATATGTATGTCTATCTGGGTATGTGATTGTGTCCATATATGTATGTCTATCTGGGTATGTGATTGTGTCCATATATGTATGTCTATCTATGTGTGTGATTGTGTCTATATATTTATGTCTATCTGGGTATGTGATTGTGTCCATATATGTATGTCTATCTATGTGTGTGATTGTGTCTATGTATGTATGTCTATCTGTGTGTGTGATTCTGTCTATATATGTATGTCTATCTGGGTATGTGATTGTGTCCATATATGTATGTCTATCTATGTGTGTGATTGTGTCTATATATGTATGTCTATCTGTGTGTTATTGTGTCTTTATATGTATGTCTATCTGTGTGTGTGATTGTGTCTATATACGTATGTCTATCTATGTGTGTGATTGTGTCTATGTATGTATGTCTATCTGTGTGTGATTGTGACTATATATGTATGTCTATCTGGGTATGTGATTGTGTCTATATATGTATGTCTGTGTGTGATTGTGTCTATATATGTATGTCTATTTGTGTGCGTGATTGTGTCTATATATGTGTCTATCTTAGTGTGATTGTGTCCATATATGTATGCCTATCTGTGTGTGTGGTTGTGTCTATATATGTATGCTCATCTGTGTGTGTGATTCTGTCTATATATGTATGTCTATCTGGGTATGTGATTGTGTCCATATATGTATGTCTATCTGTGTGTGATTGTGTCTATATATGTGTGTCTATCTTTGAGTGATTGTGTCTATATATTTATGTCTATCTTTGAGTGATGGTGTCTATATATGCATGTCTATCTGTGTGAGTGATTGTGTCTATATATGTATGTCTATCTATGTGTGTGATCGTGTCTATATATGTATGTCTATCTGGGTATGTGATTGTGTCCATATATGTATGTCTATCTATGTGTGTGATTGTGTCTATATATGTATGTCTATCTGTGTGTGATTGTGTCTATATATGTATGTCTATATGTGTGTGATTGTGTCTATATATGTATGTCTATATGTGTGTGATTGTGTCTATATATGTATGTCTATCTGTGTGTTATTGTGTCTATATATGTATGTTCATCTGTGTGAGTGATTGTGTCTATATATGTATGTCTATCTGTGTGTGATTGTGTCTATATATGTATGTCTAACTGTGTGTGTGATTGTGTCTATATATGTATGTCTATCTGGGTATGTGATTGTGTCCATATATGTATGTCTATCTGGGTATGTGATTGTGTCCATATATGTATGTCTATCTATGTGTGTGATTGTGTCTATATATTTATGTCTATCTGGGTATGTGATTGTGTCCATATATGTATGTCTATCTATGTGTGTGATTGTGTCTATATATGTATGTCTATCTGGGTATGTGATTGTGTCTATATATGTATGTCTATCTGGGTGTGATTCTGTCTATATATGTATGTCTATCTGTGTGTGATTGTGTCTTTATATGTATGTCTATCTGTGTGTGTGATTGTGTCTATATATGTGTCTATCTTAGTGTGATTGTGTCTATATATGTATGTCTATCTGGGTATGTGATTGTGTCCATATATGTATGTCTATCTATGTGTGTGATTGTGTCTATATATGTATGTCTATCTGTGTGTTATTGTGTCTTTATATGTATGTCTATCTGTGTGTGTGATTGTGTCTATATATGTATGTCTATCTATGTGTGTGATTGTGTCTATGTATGTATGTCTATCTGTGTGTGATTGTGTCTATATATGTATGTCTATCTGGGTATGTGATTGCGTCTATATATGTATGTCTGTGTGTTATTGTGTCTATATATGTATGTCTATCTATGTGTGTGATTGTGTCTATATATGTATGTCTATCTGTGTGTGTGATTGTGTCTATATATGTATGTCTATCTGTGTGTGTGATTGTGTCTATATATGTATGCCTATTTGTGTGTGTGATTGTGTCTATATATGTATGTCTATCTGTGTGTGTGATTGTGTCTATATATGTGTCTATCTGGGTGTGATTGTGTCTATATATGTGTCTATCTGTGTGTGTGATTGTGTCTATATACGTATGTCTATCTATGTGTGTGATTGTGTCTATATATGTATGTCTATCTGGGTATGTGATTGTGTCTATATATGTATGTCTATCTGTGTGTGTGATTGTGTCTATATATGTATGTCTATCTGTGTGTGTGATTGTGTCTATATATGTATGTCTATCTGGGTATGTGATTGTGTCCATATATGTATGTCTATCTGGGTATGTGATTGTGTCCATATATGTATGTCTATCTATGTGTGTGATTGTGTCTATATATTTATGTCTATCTGGGTATGTGATTGTGTCCATATATGTATGTCTATCTATGTGTGTGATTGTGTCTATGTATGTATGTCTATCTGTGTGTGTGATTCTGTCTATATATGTATGTCTATCTGGGTATGTGATTGTGTCCATATATGTATGTCTATCTATGTGTGTGATTGTGTCTATATATGTATGTCTATCTGTGTGTTATTGTGTCTTTATATGTATGTCTATCTGTGTGTGTGATTGTGTCTATATACGTATGTCTATCTTAGTGTGGGGATTGTAACCATATATGTATGCTCTATCTGTGTGTGTGTTTGTGTCTATATATGTATGCTCATCTGTGTGTGTGATTCTGTCTATATATGTATGTCTATCTGGGTATGTGATTGTGTCCATATATGTATGTCTATCTGTGTGTGATTGTGTCTATATATGTGTGTCTATCTTTGAGTGATTGTGTCTATATATTTATGTCTATCTTTTGAGGATGTGGTGTCTATATGCATGTCTATCTGTGTGAGTGATTGTGCTCCATATATGTATGTCTATCTGGGTATGTGACGTGTCCATATATGTATGTCTATCTA